GAACTGGTCTGAACGAACTGAAGTCATCAATGGCTCTTTTCCGCATGACAACTAAAGAAAGGACGAGAGAAATAGTTTCGCTGTTGAGTAAAATAAACTAGGTATCATGTCTAAACAACCGCAGGAATTGAATATTTACGAGAGACGGAGTAAAATTGGGTGGTGCATAATCATATCGAAACCAAAAAAACATTTAGGTATTCTCTATTTTTTGTAGAGAACCATCAAGAAAGGTCGTGACAAACCAAGAGGTGGATTGCAATGGTTAAGATGGTTAAGATTACGACAAATTACAAACGGTGAAAGCTCCTCTGCAAAAGTAGTTGTATCGTTGGTAGGAAATAAACAAATGAAAAAAACATTTGGTTTTTTTCGAAATCGCCCCTCTACATTCCTCACCCTCACACTTGTACATTCGATTGGTTTTGTCATGTTTAAGCTAGCATAATTAGCATACATTATGTTGCACGTGGGCTGTGGTGTTGTTGCGTAATAAAGAATTGAGCATGGCGCTGTGCGCGTACTGAGTCAAACATTACAGGTTTGTTGCGCGTCGCCATCCCTCAGCTCCATATACGGGACCTTTCCATTCATGGGTACTACCTTACGGATGGTGGGTTAGCCATTTTTGGAGAATTCCGTGAGCGGGTACTGCATGATGGACTTGAAATCGTACGGTACGCCATAATCAACAACTTCAGTTCCCCATTTCCTTTTGGCGAAAGCGTCTTCGAGGCCTGGATAACAAAAGGGCTGAACGGTAGAACACAGAATGGTCAAATATGTTTAAAGGGCGCCTTTTGACTGAGTACACAAAGGATTAAGGCCAATGAGAGGTGATAGAGAAGACCAAAAAAACTACCTTTAGCGTAAGAAAATGCAGGTGACCATGTCACTATTTATGAAAGTGTAGTGCAGTTGGCGGGTGAGTGTAGTCCTGACAAGGACTGTTGTCGGTGGCAGTGACTGACATTTCGACAACCTGAGGGGAAGTCATCATCAGTCAAGCGAATAGTTAGTGTCAGTCGAATGTTCTAATTCCAGTTCGTGTAAAATGATTGGTCAGTTTTGCCGTGATGTTACTCCGTTAGTCAGTAATGACTTCCGCTCAGGTTGTAGAGACGTCAGTCACTACCACCGACGACAGCCCTTCACAGGACCACACTCACCCGGACGATCACACAACACTTTCACATATTACCCCCGGTTCCAAACCATTTACTGCAAGTCACTGCTGGTTTCAGTATTCAGAGAATACATAAGGCCGCGGTGTATGATTTCTATGCCAAGTACAGGGCAGAAAAAAACCAATTACAATATCGGACTACTTTAGACACTCTGTGAAGGTGTAGTCTGATCGTCCGGGTGAGTGTAGTCCTGAGAAGGACTGTTGTCGGTGGCAGTGACTGACGTTTCGACAACCTGTGCGGAAGTCATCATCAGAGTCAAGTGAGTGATTGTTGTCAGTAGAATGTTCTTATTCCAGTTCGTGTGAAATGATCGGTTGGTTTTGCCGTGATGTTATTGGCTGTAAGACTCAAGTGACGTAAGTCGTTCGTGATTGGTCTGTTTCGGTCTGTCGGTAAAGCTAGGTTGTTCTTTTTCGGTCGTTTGTGATGTTTATGTCGTGAATGAGTCGTTTGTATGGGGCGGGTAGTTGTTGACATCTGTTTAGGGGAGTCTGTTCTAAGTTAGTAAACCAGCTTTCCAGAGTCAGTCGTTGAAAATAGTCAGTGCTGTAGGTTAGGCATTGCGCAGAGTCCCAGTCAATGTTGTGGTTGGTAAGTCGATGGTGTTCAGCAATGTGATTGCTGACATCACCTTTCCTCGTCGCCCGTCTGTGTTCAGTCAGTCTTGTTGTGAGGTTTCTGCCAGTCTCACCGATGTAGGAGGCTTGGCAGTCGGAACAATTGATCTTATAAATCGTTCCCTGTCTGTTCCTCGGTTCGTCTTTGTCTTTAACGTTGGTTAGTAACTGACGTAGTGTGGTGATGGGTTTGTGGGCGACGCGGATATTGAAGGGTAGTAAGATGCGCGAGATGTTTTCAGACATGCCTTTTATGTACGGTATGGTTGCTGTAGTCGTAGGGGTTGCGGTGTCGTTTGTTTCGGTAGTGGTAGTGGGTCGGTGAGTGTTTCGTCGGATGAAGTCGTTGTTGTAGTTGTTCTTCGTAAAAACACGGTGAAGGTATTTGTTCTCGTCGGATAAGCTGTCTGTCGAGTC